AATTGTCTTTCAAATAATGAGCAATCGCACAATAACAATTATAAATAGATTTTGGAGAATAAGGTTCTTTATCCTTGTGACGTAAACCCCAAAAAAACTAGATCAATTCTCGTTCTAATTGCATTATATCAAGAATCGTAGTTATGTCATAATCCAAATTAGCTGAAGATCGATACTTTTTTAAAACTCGAACCCAATTATTAGTATTCTTCTTGGTATTTATAACAGCACCATATTCATCTATCTCATTAATAGTATCTTCGGTTACAGCTTCAAATCGATCAACTAATTTAGTGTTAGGCATATTATTGATAAAAATATCATGCGATACAGCATTGGCTACGTCAGGTAAGTCTTGTGTGATGTTAACGCTATTAACTAACTTGGAAGCCTTGAAAAATATTAACCCTTATCGTTGTTTATTAATTATATATATATCAAATATTTAAAACGAATAATAAATAAAAAAATATACCGGCAAGAAATCTTTAAACGAATTATCATCCATTTTAAAAAGGTGGGTACGATAAAAAAAAAAAAAGAATGCTAAAAAAAAAAGACTAATGAAAAAAAAGTTTATTTATATAAGTCATAAAACATCGTTATGACGTCATATAAAACGAAGAATAACAATCTTATTTCCCACTGCGGGGAAATACAGTAAACCGATAAATCTCAATCAGCCGGGGGCCCGAAGGGCCCCCAGCTGATTGGGGATTTATCTTTTATTTCTGTCACTGCGGGAAATAAATAGTATGTATTACTTGTTCTGTACTTTATTTTAAAAAATGTTGTTGTTTTTTTTTAAACCAAAATAAAACTTGTAATGCTATTAGTATACTAGTTTTTTTAGTAAATAATAAACTCTAAGCTTGTCAACAAGTAGTATATGAAAACCACTTTTAAATAACAAGTGTCACTGTCCCTGCAGTAAGTAATAAACTCTAAATCTATTAGCAAATAGAACTGTCTCTAAATAATAGATATTGATTTATAGTTGCTACTTTGTCTATTAATCTTTTATTTTAAAATAGTTTATTTTTAATTGGTGTAAATTTGATATAAATAATTGTTAAAAAAAGAGTTGTTTTGTTTTTTTTCTTTATATTTTATTTTATTTTATTTTATTTTTTTTTCTTTTGGCAAATCTTGCTATAACTCTTTGACCTCTTCAGTTATATACCCAACTCAAAGACTAGTTATTGTGTGCTTTTTGCACAAGATCAGGTCTGGATCTTCAGTACTACTTTGGGTACCCAGATTTAACTGCTACACCAATATCTGAAGATGTTAAATCACCTTATAGATAATAGAGATTTTATCTACCAACTAGATATTGCTACAAGTTCGTGTAGTATCTTCAATATTTAGACTTAGGTTTCATATTATATCTCATGACTTTGGTTATTCCAAATCAGGGTTCTAGCACAGCTTTCTTTATAGCCACAGCTTCTTGGAATAATTATTTTCTAAATACATCTATCTGTAGATATCCTGGGTTCTCTGTACTCCATGGTGTTTTACTTCTATATTTGGTTTTTTATTATTTTACTATTAGGATGAATTGAACTGGCAACCTTATGATTTGTAATCTGGGAGCATAACCGCTATGCTATCAACCCACAGGTCTTATATTTTATTTTCAATTTCTATAATATTTATAATTTCTTATATATTTTAATTTCAAATATTGTAGCTACTCTTTTAAGCTTTTAATTTGTTATAGTATTAGAACAATAAATTATATAAATATTTTAGCTCTCTGATTATTTCAAACCAATTTTAATTATAAATATTAATTTTTTAATATATTAACTAAAATACAATTTGGTTTTATATTAATTATAATTAAAAAGCTTTACTTTTTTTAACAATCACTTGCACCAAATTTTTTTAAAACAATTTTTTAAAAAATATAGTACTTTATAATAAAATATAATCAAAAATAAAATTGTAAACTATAAGACAATAGCTATTATTTAGAGATAGTTTTTATATACTACTTGTTAATAGTTTTAGAGTTTATTACTTACTTAAAAACAGTATTTATTTTTTAGAAATATAGTAATATTTATATACTACTTGCTAACAAGCTTAAAGTTTGTCACTTACTAATAAATAAAAGTAGTAGCACTTTTATTTTATTTATTTATTTATTTTTTTAAATTTTTGACAGTCTTGCTAGTGCTCAATTTATTGAAACTATATTCAGGTAAGAGCTGAGCTCTTTCGAATAATACATATATCATTCATAATCATAAACAGGGAGTTAATACAATTGCGAGCCTGACATTATCCGGTTGCGATAAACGTGCCCATATGCAACTTGTCGCACCAACCTGTATACAAGTTAGATAAACTTTGTCAGCCTATCAAAGCTTTTCCTTTTATATCTCCTTTTTTTACTGAGAGCAAAAGAAAGTGATCTCATACAAAACCACCACTACTACCAAGAAAACAAAAAGAAAACCTAACTAAAAAAAAAAAACAAATAGAACAAAAAGGTATTTTTAAAGGAAAAAAAAAGAGGGTACAATAAGATATAAAAAAAAAAACACAAAGAGAAAAGCCTGAGGGCTGACAAAGGGGGAACTACCTCTATAAAGAAATAGTACAGGGGAAACAAGAGAAAAAACAAAATAAAAAATACACTATTATAATCCGTGTTAGGTTTAAGAAAAAATTTTATGCAACGTTTGTATATCTTGATTACAATATAGGAACTTTAATATCTAACTACCAGCCACCTCCAGATGTCTCTTATACCAGAGACCTGATCCCAGTCACATGGAGGACCCGTATCTATAGACTACATCGCGTGTTGTATCTACTAATAAACAAGGCACATGGTTGCATTTCTGGGTACGTCCAAATTTGGGAGATAAACAATGCCAATCTTTTGAAGGGAGTAAGCTAAATTGTCTACTTTTTGTCAAAAATTTTAAAGAAGACCAACTAAACGAAAAACACCTAGAGAAGAACCACTTGCACCCAATGAAAGTGGTTACATCCATGCAAAGACTCAACAACTTCTAAACCTTTTTCTGGAAAAGGGGTGGAGCACCTATACTATTCTTTTCAGTGAGTGATAAACTCTGGGCTTGTTGGCAAGTAGTATATGAAAACTACTTCTAAATGACAAGTGCTATGCAAGCGGTGAGTGATAAACTCTGAAGGAGTTAGCAGGTAGTGTATGAGAAATATTTCTAAATAACAACTGCTAACTTATAGCTTCTAGGTTTAGCCCTCCATGTTTTACTAAGCGCTATTGTGTTTTTACAAAAAAATGTGTTTGGATTTTTTGGTACAGGTGATTGTTGAAAAGAGTTGTGTGATTATGTTGTAACACTTTTATTAAATAGTATATATTTTAAAGAAAAATATACACTTTTTTAAAAAACACAAATAGTTTTTTATCCTTTTCACTTTATTATCAACTTTATAAAATTTTTGACAAAAAATAGAGAAAATAGATTACTTTTTCCAAAAGATTAATTTTGTTTATATTTACTAAATTTAAACAAACTCAGCAGTATAATATAAAGATTAGATATAACTTAAATTTTTATTTGTTTTTTAAAAGAATATTTGTAGTTTAAAATTTTGTCTATAATTCTATTTTTTAGTTTTTAATAAAAAATTTCTTGTAAAAATTTATTATAGTTAACTTTTTAATCTAACTTTTTCTAATTCAAATACTATAAAATTCTCTCTAATCTGAATTCAAAACTCTAAAATATTTGTAAATTTATTATAAGTTTAAATTAGTATATAATATTTCTTTAAAAACCAATTTATTTTATATAAAAAATAAATGATTTAGAATAGACAAAGTTAACTATATATACTATATCTTACTCTAACCTCTAACTACTAACTCTAAACTAATATTTGATAAATTATTTTTGATTTATTTTTTGGAATGTTTTTATTTTATTAATAATCTTTATATTATATATATAGTTAAGTTAATAGAAAAGAAACAAATTGTTTTTAATAAAATTTTTTTAATTTTTAAATTAAAAAAAAATTATTAAATTTGATAAATAATTGCTAAGATATTTAAGCTTAAAGTTAAGAAACTTTTACTTAGAAAAATTTCTTCTTTTTCTATTAATTCTATTCTATATACTAGTGTTAAATACTAATAATGTGTTTTAATAATCTTGTATTTATTTATTATAATTTATTGTTTAATAATTTAATATAACAAGATAGTTATAAAAAATGTGCCAAAAATTTTTAAATTATTTAGTTTTTATATAATATCTAACTATATAATATACAACCAAAAACAATTATAATATTATATATAGTTATATATTGAAATTGCAAGTTATATAATATATAGTATAAATTAGCCAATCAAAGACTAGTAATTTTTGTTATATAAATAAGTTAGATGAAGTTATAAAATTAGCAAAAAAACTAAAATTACAAATCAGACCAAAAAATGCAATTGATTAGTTAGCCAAAAATTTTTTTAAAAAATTAATTAATTGACAATTAATTAATTAACTAATAAATTAATTAGTTAATTAATTAAATTTTTTTTTTTTAAGTAATTTTGCTTTTATTTATAGAAACTACTATATAACTATACAATTTATATTTTATCTTAAAGCTCTATCTAATAAAAACTTACCAAGTACAATGCCCAATATAACTTGCTATAACAACTATTAGTCTTACTTGAAATTTAAAACTTGCTTTAGATTTTGTATTAACAAAAAATATTCTTCTTAATTATTTAATCGATTGTTGTATATCTTGTCAGGATCTCTTTTTTTTCATTTTAATTTTTTTTTTTCTCAAGAAGCATGAGACAAAAGAAAAAAAGTTTTAACAAAAGAATTATGAAAATAACTAAAAAAAGAAAAACCAAAAAGAAAAAAAGTACTGATTTCAAAAAAAAAAAACATAAAAAGAAATCTAAAACTTTGAAAGCACTATTATAGGGTTTCTACAAACCCAAATCAAACCAAACTTTAAGCCAAGTTTGGGTTTGATTTGATTTTTAAATCAAACCTGATCTCAAACTATTGTTAAAAAAAATATTTGAGTTTGATTTGAAGACAAACTTTTTAGCAAAGTTTAATTTGATTTGAAGTTTGATTTGAAGTTTGTCAAACAGTTTGAGTTTGAAGGGTTCTACAAAAAATTTTAGCAAAATCTTACATAATCTGGAAATACATAATAGAAATTTTGAGCAAATTTATCAACCAATTCCAATTAGTTATGAGACTGGATAGACTGTTAAACTAATTACTTTTTTTTTTTTTTTTTTAATATTTAAAGTGAGAC